TTCTAGATTTCATTTGATGATTTGTGATGAACTCATATTTCAATACTGATAAGAAAAATTTCAGTAAAAAATTACATTAAATGTTACACTAAGTATCGAAACAGGTTTACAATTCCTTCGTTGTATCCTACCCACAGTTTAGACTTTATAGAGACAGTGAATATGGATGGTTCACTTCCTCGTCTGTCAGTAAGAACTTCAGGAACTCCCCGTCAGGACTCAGCAGATGGATCTGTTTGTTACGTAGATCAGTAACAAGGATGTTACAGAGGGAATCACACACTACATCAGTTGGATCAAAGTTCTCTGTCAGGTTCTGTCCACGATAAACACACTTCATCTGACCAGAGTGCGACATTATCTCTAGTTCACCTGTAGTGTTACTTGTACCATTCACAACACAGATATCACTGTTATTGTGCTGTGTGACACCGATTGGTAATTTAAACAGTCTGGTAATACCATCCTCCTGGAACTCATACTCATTGATGACATCACCTGTCACTGTGATGTGTCTCACCAGACGTCTGCTGTGTGACTCTAATTTGTAAGGACCAGATTCCTCGTCTCTCAAGGTGACCAGTAGTCCACCATCCACTGACTGACAGATTCCTATTGGTGCCAGTGGATCTGTACTGATAACTGTTGAGACAGCGTCTATGGAATAGTTACTGTAATTAGTGACATAAATATTACTGTTTCCAATCGTACACAAGTCGTATAGATCAATAATAAATCCATTAATTATTTCACCTTTATCGTTAATTTCATCTATATAATCTGATAAAGTGTCTTTTTATGTAACATTGGTCTTCACCAAATGCCTCCAAAAGAGAAATTGATGCATTCCCATATTCAAATGAATTTGTCTGAATCACAGCAATATAATCTAAATTTAAAGTTTTTCCAACCAAAGACTCGACTAAGTCATCATTGATTTCACCTCTTCTGAACTTCACTGAATGTTCACAGTTTGTTGTATGATCCTTCAATTCAGACAGCCTTTTTGTCAGTTCTCTGTGGTTGTCAATCAAGCTGTAATCTGACATGGTGCTGTTGTTCTCCTCCATGAATTTCACTATGTCAACAATTCCTTTTTTCTTCTTCTCTAGCTTGACATTTACATAAATAACTAATTCATCATTATTTTCTCAATTAATTTATTGTATTTCTTTCTCATATTTGATTTTTATCAACCTGGCCATTCTCCCACATAATTTTGAAGCTTTTTAATCTCAGCGTCACACAATTCTTTATTTTCTGTCATCTGTTTTGGAATCTTCTTTACCTTCTCATTAATTCTGGGCAGATCTTCTTCCTTGATCTTTTTAAGAAATACAGGTAGACTTCTTCTTCTTTGGGTGGCTGCCGTGTGTATAGTGTTCCAATCATGTTCTCTATGATCTGTTTTGGCACACTTAGCACAAATGAATTCATCACAGTCCTCACATATCATATCAATAGGTAGTTCATGGGTTTCACACATTACTATGGGTGCTAGAGGTGAGCCAAGTGAATATTTTTCTGAGTTACTTTCAGCCATGTTTATCGGGTGTATCATAATTGAATGACCTAGTTTCAAGTGTGCATGTTAGGTAACGACGGATTTGAAAGTTGGGTTTTAAATTTATTCAATGTGCAATGAAATGTAAACATAAAGCTGTTTTATTTGAAAAGGGTATATTCTTTTGATTTGAAAAAAAATGATGAATCATAAGTTGATTACATGTATAATTATTTTTTCAGATACAAAAAAGTAAATATCCTTTAAGTCATAATATGTCATAATTCGAGATCCCTCTGACTCTAACCCCCGCTTCAGAATTGTGCTCAAAAGTCGCAATATTTTAGCAGGGTAAGATCAGAGGAATCTCGGATTAAACATGTTACAATTTTATCAGCATGATGAAGTTTGATTACTCATATTACACCTCACTTGCCCTTATCTACCTTAATTTTTATTTGCCTCACCTCAAAATTGGTTTTAGATGCAAAAGTTTCTGCAAATAACAAGGCATGCAGTGGTACACTTGATTTAAACCTATCACACTGATTTTTTTTTTGGTCGATATTTGTACAGGTTTTTGAAAAAGTTTTTTGATGAACAATATGTGAACCAGATTTTTACCCCAATTCCAAAGTTAAGATGGTGTACAACTGTATATATTAATTTACGAGCGTCATCTAATTAAATAATTAGTATATACAAACTGCGCAGCCAAGTCCGACGCTGCGCTAGATTTAGACGTCATGAATGAAAATCTCCATTTTCAGTAAATTATACAGTATGTGTTTTTAAATTCTTTTAGTGGTTTACAAGTTGTACACACCGTTGAAAAAAATGTTTTTACCTATCTGATATTCATACACAAAATACATTTCATTAATTTTCAGTTGCTTTCAGAAATAATTTGTCTCGAACATCGTTTCAACCATTAAAAACTTATTTTTGATCTGACGTTGTCCCGTGCGGACGGCCGATGTCGCATTTTTGTCGAGTTTATTCGCATATTTGTAAGGGTCTTTTTTTAGTATTTGTACTGTCTATATACTCACAGTAGTAAGCGATACTTAAGATATCATAATTATAGCTTATTTATTTTTGTTACATTAAAGTTTATTTATTTTTGACTTGTTTTATATAATTTAGTATTTAGGTCTAAAATTAATTATCACATGTTATTTTAATTAACTATTTATTTTACCAATTTTCGCAACACAATTATTTCATTGTTCTTCATTTTAAAATCCATCTGTTGCTATTTCTTTCTGCAACTGAGTTAAGAAGTTCACAAATTTTTGATGTTTTTGATATGTAAATTAAGTTGATTACCTTATCTGTGTGTATATGTAGTGTTCATGGACTAAATAATTCTTTTTTGTACATTTGACAAATTGTTCTAATCATTTCAGCAGTTAGAGGAATTCTTGGCTTATAAATAATTACGGGGAAACCCTTTGTCGGTTTGGCATTGTGTGTCCGCAATTCTTGCTCCTCATGGCAATACCTAGCGTCAAACTGGTACATCATTTTATTCAGTAAAACTTGTTTAAACCAGATATTCAGTTTATATATTTTTCTAAAATCCTTGATCCAAATCAGTGAAATATTCTGGAGAGGGACTTAAACAAATCAATAAAATCCTTATTAAAATGTTGTTTATCTAATGTTGCTAATTTCTATGGAGCCAGTGCTGTCCACATTCGATAAGCTTTCTGTAATTTCATTTATTATCTCAAATATTCTTTATAAAAATCAAGTGTTATGAATCCATTAAGTGGCAACAACTGGAAGAATTTTTTTTAAATTATACATATTGTGACAATGCAGGTTTAAGATAAAGTTTTAAGTTTCTATCAACATGATCAATTTATGATAAATGATTCAGAGATCCATCACATAAAGAAGAAGGTGCAGTTTCAATACAAATAAAGCCCTATACTTTTCTAAAATATGAAAGTGATATAAGAAATTAAAATGTATTCTTTCTGAAGCATAGAAATTCTCTGCAGTAAGAATAAACAAATTTTTTTTTTTCCCAAAACCCCCTAATTGCCAATTGTGACGTCATCGGCTTGTTCATTTTCCTGTATTTTTTTTTAAAAAGCCCAGCACATCAATTTTCAGTGGAATTTTTTTCAGAAAACATACTCTGCCACCGTCGCCCGGAAAGATTTTAAGATATGTGATTTTTCATAGCTGTTTGCTTAATATAACCAAAAATTAAAGAGGGCGACGATGGCAGACACTATTTTTTAAAAGAAAATTAACAGAATAACAGTCATTTGAAGCTTTTCTGAATTAAAACTTTAAAAAATACCAAATTAATGACGTCATATTTTCAAGAAAGGCTCTTCCCCGCAGGCACACAACGTTGTTTAAAAATAGATTAGTTGAAGTTGGGTTTAGACGTTGATATTCTTCATGCCATATTCTTTAATGATTTATCATATTCATCTACTCAACTATTATTTAAGCTAATTTCATAACTTTTAAAGAACATTAAATTTTTAGGGCACAATAAAGCTTAAATCATACCGTCTTCTTACTTTATGTCATTCAACTAGTTGTTAATGTATTTGAAATTTTGGATCTGAAGCATTTTAAAATAAGATAATTTTTAGTGTTTTTGACATTTTACAGGGGGGAAACTAAGCAGTTATACAATGTGGGATTCCAGTCTATAAAACAGAAATAAATTTAGATTAGCATTCGTAAACTATAGTTAACAACCGTTAAACTAGTTTACAGATCAAACTATAGTTAAGGAATTGTTAACTATTCGATAAACCTAGTTTATTATCTGTAAACTATGTTTAGCTCATTTTTGTGAGTTTTGGGATGCAATAAATATGATCATTTTTTTCAAATTCAAATAGCTTTTCGTTTACCCTTATATATTAATAGAGATTTTATGCATTTTTTTTGGTTGATAGAAATGAAATAGGATTTTTTTTTTAAACCTAAATATAATTTATGGCTATGTTAAAGGAATAATAAAACAACCTATTTGTTTTCTTTTTTTGGTTTTGCTGAGTGGAAAGCTGAAAGTTAGTTGAATGTACTCTTAGTTAAAAAGACAGTAGTACTTAGGTTGTTCAATTTTTTATTTAAATTCTGATTATGAATATTGCTTTTTTCACATGAAATATAACTTGTACTTCATAGAACTTGTATGTATAGCATACAAAGTGAATGTGCAATATCTCCTAATGAAAGAGGAATGTTTATAGGAATATTAACTAGCTTACTGGTACAGTGTATTGAAACTTCTTCCAGGTGTGTGATATTGTGCTTTAATTCTTGTCTAAAGACTGTGTTACATTGCTTTCAAGAGTTAGTCTGTATCATTTCATGTTGACATGATAGTTGTTTATCATGAGTACAGTTTCTGTGATATAAACTTTTGTTCAATTGAAAATAAACACGTTTATGTCATGGTCCCATTTGACTGGTCTCAGCCAGCTAATTATTGACTTTTCCGTCCACCAAAATGGTGTTAAATTTTTCATTTGTAGAAATTAGTTATTCCAGTGCTCTTATGCATCTATTAAACGAAGCCCCATATTTGAATACCTGGTATATGTTTGCCAATAGTAATGTGACATGTCCATACTTAAAGGTATTAAAGGAAGAGGAAAATTGGTGGATTGTGTTTTTTTTAAAAAAAAAATCTTGTGTTATCCATGATTTATGATTTAAATAAAAAGTAATTTGAAAATTGCAGTAAACTTTTGGTTACAGTCTTCATTTATTCCACCATATTTAATGCCTATACTATGCAGTGTGGATGACGATTCTGTTGTTACTGTATCTGAATATCCAATTTACCATACATGTTTCCAAATTACAATACCATTTTGAAAGAACAATAAAAATTTTTTAAATCAGTTCAACATTGAACTAGTATATATTTTTTAAAACCATGCAGCTTGTTTGATTTAGACCTCTGAAATAATTAAAGAAGCTCACTTCAACAAAGTTGGAGGAGCCTTTGTAATACCGTCAGCGTCCCAGGTTGGGTTTTTTGGGTCAGTTTCTTTCTTCGGGCACGAAGAAAGGGGGGGGGGGGGCAATTATTTTTTTCTGCATTATTGAAATCTTGATTGAAGGCTAGGTGGTTGGCCTTCCCATTTATAGTTACAGTAAGATGAAATAAGGATAATCAAGTTTTGTATGTTGAAAATTTGGTACTGAAAGAAGAATTAGTTATTTCAGCAAAGGAATGACCAAGTTAACATATTTGGGGTAGGTTTCATTTCTAAGTTAAACTATACGTCGGTGTCTGACACATTTGTATTGCTTTGTAGATAAGCATGTTGAGTCCTCATAGTATTATTTTGTAGATAAGTATGCTTAGTCCTGCTCAGTTGAAAGGTGTACCTAAATCTTACATAGCAAAGAAACCCCCGGGGCCAACACACCAGACAGGTCTATACAGCTTCTCTGTGTGAAATCATAACTTCAATTTCAAGTGTTGAAGTAAATTTACAGTAATAGATTTGAAGTAAGACAGCTCATTACTCTTTGTCTTATCATTGGGTATAATAAATTTGTTTTTGAAAGAAAGATATGTATACACTTTATGTACATTTAATTTTTGCAAGGACAATATTTATTCCATTTTAAAGGTAGGTGAGAGATAAATTCTATATTTTAATGAACATGAAGATAACTGAATTTGAATATCCTCGGGGCTTTGTCCAGAACCTCCTGTCAGGGGCGGCTAGTTTTGCGACCTGTGTCTATCACTTCTGCCAGGTACATGTATATTACCACATTATATTTCTCTGAAATTAAGGTGATCATGTGCTTTTCTTATCAATGTTTCTCCTGAAGAACCATCTTCATGGAAGTTATGCGAAAGCATCTTTTTGTGATGAAGATTTGTTAGCATTTAGCTTTTTTAAGTTATGGAGAGGGGGGGCCTGGATGGTTTGTGGCAACGCACTTTAAAAAAATTACGCACTTTGAAAATTTTTTCAAAGTTTGTAAAATTTTGACAAAATCAACGCACTTTGAAAAAAAAAAATTTCAAAGTGCGTTAAATTTGGGACCAACTCAACGCACTCTTAAAAAAAAAAAATGTGCGTTTTCAGAGTCTACATCAATATATTTTACCATATTAACACACTTTGAAAAAAAATCATATGTGTAATGGAAAGATTTTATTTGTTATTTATCTTTCAAAAAACTTAGCCTAACCTTATCAAAAAAATGAATTGATTTACTCCTGTTGGATAACTTTTCGATAATAAGGTCACTTCCGGATGTGAAAATGGGCGATTTTGATTTTTCCATACTTTGGAAATTCTTTCTCTCTAAAATGTGTTACTGTACTTTATTTTCCCAGTTTGCATGACATGCATTTAATGTTAACTAAAATTTATTGAAAAGTTTTCATCATCAAAACACTTATGCAAATACCTTTATCTGCATGGTTGTAGCATATGCATCGGTAAAGGGGGGGGGGGGGGGGTCTACAAAAAAATGTTTTGCAAAGATATACATAATGACATTAAATATTTTTTTACCTTGGGGGACACTTTTTCAATTTGCTACCGACGGCCTTGTATAGAAAAAAGAGTTTGACTGAGAGACCTTCTATATACTCATCTCCTTGTTCTCAATGACAGTAAGGAGAAGGATATGGAAATAACGAACAGTATTCATTCTCAACGTCCATTAAACAATATACAAAATACATGTACATGTAAATTAAAACGTTTTTCGAAAAATATAATTATTACAAATTAATTCTCTCAATTACTAAAATCTAAGTCTGTAGTTTTTGTTTTATACATATTTTTTTTCAAAGTGCGTTAAATGTCCACATGGTAAAAAAAGTTTATGTACACTCTTAACGCACTTTCATTTTTTTTTCAAAGTGCGTTATGTCCCAAATTTAACGCACTTTGAAAAAATTTTCAAAGTGCTTTGATTTTGTCCCAGTTTTAACGCACTTTGCAATTTTTCTTTTTCAAAGTGCGTTGCCACAATGCGCAGATTTTTTTAGGGGGTTGGGGGTGCACCTCAGTAAAATAAATAAATATCAGAAATTTCTTTCAAAAGAACAAAGTAAACACCTTTTCAAAATGTTAACAAGCTATTTATTGTGTGAGGGTGTTTGTGTGTAAGGGGGTGGGTGGGTGTTAAGCTGCGTTCTTTTATTTCTTAAGCTTTATATACATGCAAGACTTCTTAACAACTTTTTTAATAAGTTTTGCAAAATGATACCGTCTCTTCAACGATCGTTAATGGGAGATAACCATGCACATAAGATTTTTCTTTTCTATTTTTCAAACAACATTTCATACTTTCTGAAACATAGCCCATTTTAAGCTCGATTGTTACCCTGAATCAAAAATATTACTTTAATAAAATCATCTATTTTTCTCTTTCCATCAGTTATACAATTTCCATTGTTGAAAAGCTTATATTTTCCTATGAGTGACCTGAAGCTGCCACAAAATAACTCTCTTAGTACCATAATCTAGACAATTTTCACATCTCCCTTCTACCACTTCATAATCAAGGAATCTCAATGTATACACAAGTAATTAGCCCTACTCTGACCTTGAAACTGTGTACCCAGTATATTCCCTTTATTTCAGAAAGCCTGGTGTAACAGACTAGAGGTTGAGGCAGTATGAGCAAAATCTCTGTAGAGCTTACAACAATCAGGGTTTTTTTTTTTATTATTTCTAAGCAGCATTTTTACAAACTGAAGTGGTCAATTCAACTAATAAACGAATCTTAATAAGTTACACATATATATACTAGGGTCATTAAAAGAATACATAGACTATATTCTTCAACGTCATATAATTATTACAAGATTATAGATCAACACATTTTCGTAAATGGAAACATTACTTTTGTCGAAGTGTGAAGTTTCATTGCATTTGATTAAATAGAATTCATATTAGCCAATTTTTAAAGCAACATGTTTTGTTACCACGTAGCAGTTATTAACTAAATTCAATGTCGATAAAGTTTCTCTGCTTTTTAATTTCATACACCGTTTGAAGCGTCTTCCTCATTCTTAAAAACGTATTCATAACACTTAACACCTAGTTTGCTAACAATTGTTCTAATAGCTTGAACTAGATTTTCAGTGTTTTTCAATTCTTTACTGCGTACATGTAACTCAATGTGTTCCGCAACAGTGAAGCGTATGTGATGTTTAATGACGTTCCTAACTCTTTTGAAAAGATTTTTAACAATAAGCTGTTTCTTTGCAGACCATCCATTGTCCGATTCAAACTCGCTAACACTCAAAAAAGGTATTTTTCTTTCACTCAAAATACACGGCTTATTTTCATACATTTCCTGGTTTATACAGAACTTTTTAAGTTTGTTACAGCCTTACAGGTTTCCCCAATGCAAAGTTTTATTGCTACTCGCTGTATTCCAATGCAATGTTTTTTTGGCTTTTTTTTCATCAAAAAGCCACAATGGGGAATCAAAGTTTTTTTTCATCATACATTACCTGAAAGCATCTTAATACATCGAGACTTGAATTGAACATGTAAATTTTAATATGTCTCGGCTCCATTTATTAGAGGTATGGCTCTAGATACTCAGTACTATCAAATGAATGTAATAAAAATACTCAATTTGGACATTGCTCCGTGACCCCATTTTTGCTGTTCTAAATCTTTGATAATTTTTATAAATATGAAGATATATTCAATAGGGCTGGGACGATACAACTTTTTCCATATCGATACGTATCACGATATTTGAGCCACGATACGATATGTATCACGATATGTTTAATTGCTTATAAAATCTGTTTTTGCATTGAAATAAACAAATGATTTCTTTGCAAATAAGAATAATTTATTCAAAATAGTTGTTTATATTTTGTAAAACAAAAATATTTTACTCAAATGGTATAAATTATTACTTTTTCACATCTATATTTATATTTATCTTATTTACTTTATATATTAAACCCAAAATGTTAAATAAACAAAGAAAAATAGAAGTAAGATTTTGTCGGACGATATTTCGATATTTCTTTATATGTATCCATATGCGTATCGTCCTCACATGTATCACGATATATCGATATCTCGTCCCAGCCCTAATATTCAAATTTTTAAACTCAAATTATTCAGATTTGTTTATGAAATATGTATATCAAATATGGATATAATGATGTTAACGACGTTCGATCCTGATGTTTAAAGTCTTAAACTTTTTTTGCCAAGTATATTTTTAGTTTGTACATACAAAGCTTAATTAAAATTCAAATCAAAAAGTGGGGGTCAATATGCTTCTTTTGGCGCTACAGTACATTTAATATGACCTTCTTGCACTGAAATTTGTGTCTTAATTAAAAATAAAATTTTTGACGTTTTCCCTCAAATATTTTTATCCAATTAAAGCATGAAACAAAATGAACTCTAAGTTTGTTTTAAAAAAGACACTTAAAAATTGTGACTAAGAAAAAGTTTCAAATTGCTTCGCATAATCAATTATTTGACCTTTCTGCACTAATAAAAAGTGATTTTTCTGGCATTGAAAATTTGATAAGCAAGAAAAGTATTTTAAAGTCTTAAACTTTTTCTGATTTTAAGCAAATAGGTCTAATTTATCTTGAATATTAAGAATAGAATATCAAAAGTGGGGGTATATGATGAAAATTTTTAGATATTACTAAAAAAGTGTAAATTTTACGTTAAAATTGGCTCACTTTTTTGCCAGATTTTCAAAAATATTGAATATATTTGTCACAATTCGTTGAAAGAATTCATTAAAAATAATTTCATAGATATTTCAGAACCAGCATAACCCATTTCACTGCAATGGTTACTTTGTGTGCAACCAGCATGGAAAAATAGGAATCTAAAATTAACAGTAATGTTATAGTTCAAAAGGGAAAAAAACTGATCATTTTCGTCTAAAAAACCTTCCGCTACAAAATATAGTCCCTAGTTTAATTCTACTTGAATGGAATTTAATCGCGGTTTTTTCATTGAGTATAGTTCAATTTGCATTGCAGAATTCAGATTTATTTTTAGAACCTAAAAATGATGCTTAATTTTATGAATAAAGGACCTGCGCGAAATACGCACAAAATATCAGGATCGAACGTCCTTAAACATAATATGCTGATATATGTAGCTCTTTATGTGTTTACACTACACTGATGTTTGTGTATCATGCAGTGGGATCTCTTCAACTCCTTTTGCTTTGAATATGTATTTTGCTCAGTTTTGATGAAAACCTTTTCAGGAAGGATATGGAAATAACGAACAGTATTCAATCTCAACGTCCATTAAACAAATATACAAAACAAGAGCAGAGCAAACACGGACCTCCGAAACATCAGAGGTGGGATCAGGTGCCATGGAGGAGTGAGCATCCCCTGCCGACCGGTCACACCCGCCGTGTGCTCGTTGTCATAATCAGGAAATAACGGACAAAATCCGTGGTGTATTCAGTGTATAAATAATGGACTAACAATTGGTATGAAAAACGTCAGTCAGCATTTCATTCAATGATAAATTGTATTTGCTGACAAGGTCATTGTATCGACCATAGAATTTACGAAATGATGACTTTAAACGTGACTGTTGATATTCTTGTTTTTTATCAACTTGCTTGTCAATAATTTACCTCGATTAAGAAATTGTTCATACGTAAGGCATGCTCTTGAGTATCGAATCAACTGAGATATAAATACTCCGTATGCAGATGATGAAGGTATATTGCTGCATAAGTAAGGGAAGTTGATGATAGAAAAGTTAAAGTCATCACGTTTATCATATAGCTTGGTTGTTAGATTACCAATAGTGTCTTTTTCAAGTAAAATATCCAAGTATGAAGCAGGAGTGTCGGACTCTGTGGTATCTTTTATCTCAAGCTCACCAGGATATATCGTGTCGACGTAGGAATGGAAATTATCATTATTAATTGACAATACGTCTTCGATATATCTAAATGTCGAGTTGAAGGCCACGGCAAGTGTTTTCTTCTTTTCACGCAAAAGATTTTGCATAAATTCTGCTTCATATGAATATAAAAATAAGTCTGCTAATAACGGAGCGCAATTTGTACCCAATAGATTGTTGGAATACCTGGTCTCCAAAAACCACATAGATATTGTCAATCAGAAACTCAAGCATCTTCTTGATGTCAACTTCAGAGTACTTATGTGTGCAATCAGAATCTGTTTTAACAAAATAATTTTTCAAATGACCAATGACGAGGTAAGTAAACTTACGAGTTCCATTTTTGTTGAAGAAGCAGCTGTCAATGATATCAAAAAGCTTGGATTTTAATTTGTCGTGGGGAATTGTTGTGTATAAAGATGGTGTTATCAAACTTCACATGTTGATACAAACTTGTACGGATGATGCATCTAGGGATGAACACTACCAGACTTGCTGAGGATGTTGGATCTGACCTACATTTTCCAGATGAGTGACCAGGTTAATGTTTTTGGAGCAGGCCCATTCCTAAGGAACTATAAGCCCTACTTGGACCAAACTTGCATGGGTGATGCATATAAAGATGGACACTACCAGAATTGCTTCAGATGCTAAATCTGAGGTACATTTTCCAGATGAGTGACCAGGTTAGAGTTTATGGAGCAAGTCCATTTCCAAGGAACTATAAGCCCTACCCAAACCATACTTTCACGAATAATGCATCTAGGGATTAACACTACCAGACTTGCCTCGGATGCTGGATCTGACGTACATTTTTGGAGCAGGTCCATTACTAAGGAACTATAAGCCCTACTTGGACCAAACTTGCATGAATTATGCATCTAGGTATGGACATTACCAGACTTGCTTCAGGTGCTGGGTCTGACCTATATTTTCATTCCAAAGTAACTATAGGCCGTACTTGAACCAAACGTATATTGATTTTGCCTCTAGGGATGGACACTACCAGACTTGCTTCAGATGCTGGATCTGATCAATATTTTCATTCCCAAGTAACTATAAGCTCTACCTGAACCAAACTTGCATGGATAATGCATCTAGGGATGGACACTACCAGACTTGCTACGATCTTGCTACGATGCTGGATCTGACCTATATTTTCATTCCCAAGTAACTATAAGCCCTACCTGGATCAAACTTGCATCGATGATGTATCTAGGGATGGACAATACCAGACTTGCTTCGGATGCTGGAACTGACCTATATTTTCGTTCCCAAGTAACTATAAGCCCTTGCTAAACCAAACTTGCATTGATGATGCATCTAGGATGGACACTACCTGACTTGCTTCGGATGCTGGATCTGACTTACATTTTCATTCCCAAGTAACTATAAGCCCTACCTGAACCAAACAGATCAAATTTTATACACATACAAATTTTCATGTTGCTTTACTAATATATCCTTGGCGGGGCATTCATGTCCTATGGACATATTTCTAGTTATTTAAGCATTCACTAATACATTTTGTTGACAATTTTTCATCTATATTTTCCTTTAGATTTCAATTTCATTTAAAGAAACTGTTCAAAATATTTTCATCAATCTTCATACACTTCTACAAAATTTCATGTTACATTACTACATGTAATTTACACTTTGACGGGCATTCATGTCCTATGGACACATTTCTAATTTATGATGTTTTGTTCACATTAACCAAGCTCAGTTAGTCATGCTTCAGGTAAGATTTCCAGTTTCGCAAGAAAGAGAGAAAAATGGCGGTTTCCAGTAAAATTTCAAATAGGGTACAAATTTTCATTTTCCATGAATTTTGGATTACTGCTGTAAGACTAAATCGGGTAAAAAAATATTTGACATTTTGCATACAAACAGTACATATCACAAGTTATAATCATTTCTGATTTTATGAAAAGTCTTTATACATAATTTATATCATTCTACATTTAATTGATGATTTGTGATGAAATAGTTCAAATCTGATATGAATGATTTCAGTAACAAATTTACAATTGATCTATATTAAATGATACACTGAGTATCTAAACACTTTTACAAGTCCTTTATCGTATCCCACCCACAGTGTAGACTTGTACAGAGATAATCTGGTTGGACAGTTCTCTTCGTTCTCTGAGAGCAAGAACTTTAGGAACTCCCCGTCAGGACTCAGTAGGTGGATATTATTGCTAGCTCGGTCAGTAACAAGGATGTTACAAAGGGAATCACACACTACATCAGATGGATCAAAGTTCCCTGTCAGGTTCTGTCCACAGTAGACAGATTTCATACGACCAGAGGGAGACAGAATCACTAGTTCACCTGTAGTGTCACTTGTACGGTTTATAACACAGATATCACTGTTACTGTTCTGTGTGACACTGCCTGGTAATGTAAACAGTCTGGTCTGACCATCCTCCTGGTACTCATACTCACGGATGACATCGCCTGTCACTGTGATATGTCTCACCAGACGTCTGCTGTGTGACTCTAATTTGTAACGATCTGATTCCTTGTCTCTCATGGTGACCAGAAGTCCACCGTCCACTGACTGACAGATTCCTATTGGTACCAATGGATCTGTGCTGATGACTGTAGAGACAGATCCTGATGATGACAGACAACTGATAACTTTGTCACTATAATCAGTGAAATAAACATCACTGTTTCCAGTCTTACATATGTCATATAGATAAATACTAAATCTTTGTATTATTGCACCGTTATTGTCAACTTTTTCTGTATAACCTGATAAAGTGTTTCTTATGCAACATTGGTCTTCGCTGAATGCCTCCAAAACAGATATTGATTTATCGCTATATTGGAACGAATTTGTCTGAGTAACAGTAATATTATCTAAATTTAAAGTTTTTCCAACCAAAGAGTCGACTAAGTCATTAATTTCACCTCTAATGAACCTCACTGAATGTTCACATTTTGTCACATGAACTTCCATTTCAGACAGCATTTTTGTCAGTTCTCTGTGGTTATCAATCAAGCTGTAATCTGACATGGTGCTGTTGTTCTCCTCCATGAACTTAACTATGTCAATAATTCCTCTTTTCATCTTCTCTAACTCAGTTTTCACCTGCTGTAATTCATCATTCTTTTGAACTAAGTTGTCTCTTATTGTTTGTTCATGACATTTTTTGATTTCTATCAACCTGGCTATTATATCATCAACATGCTTCTGAAGTTTTTTAATCTCAGCATCACACAGGTCTTTATTTTCTGTCATCTGTTGTGAAATCCTCTCTATGTTCTCATAAATCCCAAGCAGATCCTCTTCCTTGATCTTTTTAAAAAAAATTAGGTAGACCTCTTCTCATTTTGATGGTTGCCGTGGATATAGTGTTCCAGTCATGATCTCTATGATCTGTTTTAGCACACTTAGCACAAATAAATTCATCACAGTCCTCACATACCATATCAATAGGTAATTCATGGGTTTCACACATAACTATGGGTGCCAGAGGAGAACCAAGGGAAGATTTTTCTGAGTTACTGTCAGCCATGTTTGTCGGGTGTAGCTAACCTGAATGACCTCATTTTTAATGTGCATATTATATAAATAACAAAATTTTTTTAAGTTGGGTTTTAAATTTATTCAATGTGACTCTTTTGAAATGTAAGCGTAAAGGGGTTTATCTGAAGTGAGAAAATCATTTGGATTAGAAAAAACGATGAATTAAAAGGTGATTACATGAATAATTATTTTTTTAGATACAAAAAGGTAATTAATAAATTAAATGACAGAAGTATTTTCAGACATAATATGTTACAATTCTATCATCAGTATGAAATTTGGTGAGTCATATTACCCTCCACTTGCCCTTAGCTTAAGTAACCTTCATTTTTTATTTCTCTCACCTAAAAATTGTTTAAGCTGCAAATGTTTCTTGAAATGAGTAATTGCAGTTTTAACAATGTATGCAGTAGTACTCTTGATTTGAACCTATCACGTTGATTGTTTTGTCAATAATTTGTAGAGGTTTTAGAAAAGTGTTTTGATCAACAATATATGAATAATATTTTTACCCAAATCCAATATTTTTTTTTAATCTTGTACAGAATTTGGGTCTAAACACTATCACATGTATGTATGATTTTAAAAATATTGAACCATCTTTTCATGGCAACAGCATTTATTTATGATTCTTCAGTTTATAATCCTTCTGTTGCTATTACTTTCTGCATCTGGGTAAAGAAGGTTACAAAATTCATTCTGATATTTGTAGATATGTAAGTACTGTAAATCTGGAAATTTTTACGTCGATTTTATTTTACAAATTCTGGTCAAAATGCTTATGATTAATTTTTACGTCTCAAAATTTTGCGAATGACCACTGCTTAGTTGAAGTTTTCTTATTTGTAATTTATTTTTTTAAAACATATTTTTGCGAATGCATTGAACTTCGCAAATTCGTTAAAAATTTATATACAGCAAAAATTTACGACATATGCTGATTACCTTAATTGTGTATATATGTAGTGTACATGTAGTATATAATACTGATTTAGTACATTTGACAAATTGTCTCTAATCATTTCAGGAGTTAGAAGAATTCTGGGCCTATCAAGAATTACTGGGAACCTTTGTCAAGCGCCTGGCTTATTGTGTGTCCGCAGAACTCCTGCCTCTCATGGAAATACCCGGCGTCAAACTGGTACTTTATTTTATACAGTAAAACTTGTTTAAAATTTTGATTTTTTATAGAGAATTGATATTAAAAGACTTTGAGTAAACATCATAATAGACAAGATCTAAAAATACAAATATCTGTATTTTTAGATCTTGTCTATTATAATGTTTACTCAAAGTCTTTTAATATCAATTCTCTATAAAAAATCAAAATTTTAAATAGGGTGGTGGACATGACATGTCTCCGATTTAGCTGAAATTTACACCATTTCCTACAATTAAAAGTAAAATCCTTCGATTAAAATGTAGTTTATCTTATGTTGGTAATTTCTATGGAGCCAGTGCTGTCTGCATTAGACAAGCTTTCTGTAATTTCATTTATCATTACAAATATTCTTTATGAAGATCAAGTGCTATGAATCCTTTAAGTGGCAACATCTAGAAGAAATTTTTTTAAGAGATTGATAAAAAATTGTACATATTGATGACATTGCAGTTGAAATATATTTTATAAAATGTACATTTTGATGACATTGCAGGTGTAAAATATATTTTTTTAAATTTCTATAATTGATGATATTAAAACATTATTATGTATCACAGTTCCATTGCATTAATTTACTTTATGTCATTGAACTAGTTGTTTAATCTATTTGAATGTTTTGGTCTAAAGCATTTCACAATAAGATATTCTTTACAAAGTGTTTTCGAAATTGCACAGGGTAGAGCTAAGCAGTTATACAATGCCGGATTCCAGTCTGTGGCGTTAGTGGCGGCTGCTGGTCCAGAGATCCTTGTTAAATCGATACAACAGATCCCTCGTAAAGTGGCAAAATAGATCGTCGCTTCTGCTGAAGTAAGATTTCTTGTGTGGCTAAATTTTAATTATTAATATTTTATTTGTACAGAAAAGTTTTTGTCTTAAAAAGTCATAAAATATAAGCTTAAATTCATGGCTACTCTGTATATTTACAAAAAATATGAGTTATTAATTTGATTACATCTTTAATGTTTTTCTGATTATGTACATGTATTTCTTAGCCATTTTACCCTGGTATATTGATAGAGATTTCATGCACTTTCTTTCGTTGATAGAAATGAAATATGATTTTTTTTTCAAATCTAAATATAATTTATGTCTATGTTAAGGTTATCCGATCCTCAGGTTCTAAAAATCAAGCATTGAGTAATTGAAAATGCTCACATAGATGTTTCTAAATTCTCAAATTAAAATGCATTTACCCACGGTCTTTCTTTGAAATTCATCTGTAAATTAAATAGTAAAATATAGTAAATCTCATATAATTTTTCAGGAAATGCGATTTGAACTACCTACTGCATATTTTTTAATTGATAATTGATCAAGAAATACATTTTAGGAATAAAAATCATAGGTATCCAGGCTTTTGAAGAAAATTGCAAGAATTTTATACTTATTTGGACTTTACTTTCTCCTACTTACTTCAATTGTTTCAAAATGCATAGTGTATGAAGTGTTTCCTTTCAAAGAAAACACTGTAAATCACTTCTAATTTCAAATCATGCATATAAACATATGTTAACTAAGACTTAATTTAAAGAAATTTGATTTTTTTTAAATATGCAAGTTTTACTTCATTTTATGAGGTACAAATGTCAACTTTTTAAATACCGATTGTTAAAACTTTTAAGAACATGAATCATACGTAGAGACATAAAAAGAAAATTGTTGCATGAAAAAATTTCAATTTCAAGCTTTATTTTAAGACTTATTGAATTAAATTATAAATTTAAGATTTATCATTCCTGGCTGAGGATTGTATATCCTTAAAGGTTTCATTAAACAACCTCTTGTTTACATTTTGGAGGTGTTACTGAATGAAAAAGCTGAGGCCTTACTACAGGAAGTAGAGGAACTGGTGACGGTTCCGGTGTAAAGACGAATAATGACCCCCATCGAAAAATGACCGGGGGGTCATTTTTCAACGACAAAAAATGACCCCCACCCGTAGAAAAAAATCATTTTTTGTAGAAAAAGGGTCCTAGGGGGTCATTATTTTATATGTTAGTCCTATAAAATAATGACCCCCATTGAAAAATGACCCCCTTTAAAGTGATACAAAATATACACTCTTTGATGTCTTTTTCCACAGCGAAACTAAGTTTTACATACATTGTCTGTAACCAGAAAAATACAAAAAATCGTATGAAATAATTAAGAGATTCACGTAGTCTTTCAATGCTAAAATTGTGTATGAAAAGAGATTCTTTAATTGTCAAGTAAATAAAATTTCTTTTTAATATTCCTCCTTATAATGTTTGCTTAAAGAATGATATTCCACTTGCTTTTAGAAATCAAACCATGCAAAAATCAGGTTTAAATACTCTTTAATAGGAAAATTTTAGTTTGTTTAAGTTTGGCAAATTCTATTTGACAATGAAAGAGGAAGACATTTTTACCCCCCGCCCCAAAAAAAAAGAACATTACGTTAAATCAAAACAAAAAAATAATAATAAATGAAAAGAAGAAATATAAATGAAACTCTATACCTTTCAATAATTCTGAAAGAGGCTCTAGATAAAATATTGAAATGAAGTTAAGCCTTCACACAAGTACTATCATATCATAATTTACTTCGCCATGATTAAAGCATACTTTAAATGTTGGTGGAGGAATACTTGAAAGTATTGTGGCAAAGTGACAGTTAAAAATTAGTAGAATAGTAGATTATTTTTAGCTTATTTTTAATTCCTTTCTTATAGAAAAATAAAGGTAGGGTGGTTTTTTTGCTTTTGTTCAATATCGACTTCCTCCTAAATAAGAAAGGGGGTAGGGTAAGTATAAGACCTAAAAATATGCTCTGTAAACTATGGGCTAGTGTAAAATACACAGTCATTCGAATGCAAAAACTATACATGTAGACATAAACTTTTGATTTAGCACACAGTATTCATTACATTTCTTTTAACGTAGAACCTACTTCGTATGACATCATAACTTGTAAATGTGTTAAACCTGTGCTAATTAACCCATTAATACGTCATAATTAATTCAATGCCACTTTTTCCCGTACTTGACAGCTTCAATAAAAATGGTAGAAAATATTGCATTTTGAAATTCACAGAATTCAATCATGCCAACATAATCTTGATTCAATTCATATATTTTTTGGTTTATAATGCTTAATGGCAATATATTTCTGGAATAAGAGAAAATATGTAGGCATCTTTTATTTACTAGATCTAGACCCGACGTTGACAAACCCAAGACTATCTAGTGTAATGAAATTACAATGTACATACAACTTTCGTAATAATTTGAATGGTATGTAACCATTTTGAAGGAATGCATAAATCGTAAGAAATCTTTAGTTGCCAGCTATATAGTGTAATATCTTGATGAAATGTGTCTAAGTCAAAGATGTACGTGTTGTAGATCGTTTGTACATTTTTGTGATATCTATAATTAAATGATGTGCATTTCTTTTAACAATTATTTGTTACCTATTCATATTTTTGGTGTTTGATTACAATTTTTCTATTAAATATGATCTTTTTAAAGAAAAAGTACAATTTCTGATAAACATTTAATCTAAAAGTAACCCCAAACGGTCATTCAATTATTAAATCCCGGTAAGTGCAAAAAGGTCAAGAATATGAGTATAGGTAAACAGCCTATCTTTCATTAGTTAGAGGGGAAAGGTATATATTTTAATCAGTTTTTGTAATCATTTGGCTATGTTCTTCATCATATTGAAGATTGAAAACATTGTGACAAAGACGTCTAAAAAATATTTACAAATATAGGGTGAATACTGTAAACCAACTTTTATTCGCGACGACTATATTTCGCGATTTACTAAAGGTAAACTCGTTCGCGACGATTAATTTTCGCGATCAAGTCTTTTTTTGATATATTTCAATAGATTCAGAGTCTTCAAGGACCGGTTCGCGGCGAGAAATATTCGCGATGACGAGACACTCGCGAACTTCGCGAAATTTTCTCGCACGCGAATAAAAGTTGGTTTACAGTAATTGACTAAAAATAATGAGTTCATTTGACTAGATTTTTTAATGGTGGACTTATCTTTTATGTTAATTGAATAAAAAAGAAATTATTCTTGATAAAATATTGTTTAATATTATTCAGTTTAAAAAGTTTATAAACGACGATGTTTGAAGAAGTATTTTTGTGATTTTTCATATTCCCTTTATGACAAGTACCCCTAAAAATATTTGAAAATGTGAAGTCGCAGTATGTAAATACCCTACCAAGTTTCACAGCCTGTTCTAGATTAAATAACAAGGAAACATATGATATCTTAACTGATTCATAAGCAAGTACTAATTTATCATTTTGAAAAGTTTGAAAATCTTGTGACTAAGACTTTTCCGACATAGGTTCTACCTTAATTCTTGTTTTACTCCACCCTTTTACTCAGTTCTGAGTATATTTTTCAGAGAATTTAATATGAAAATCAGAACAAACATTTTCATTGTTGTAACGTCTTCTTTATAATGTATATTAATATGAAAAGTTATTTGAAGACCATTTCTTTTTATGTCCCTGTAGTCGAAGATTCGGGGGTATATAGTTTTATCGTGTTCGTCTGTATGTCCGTCTGTCTATCTGGCGGTTTATTTGTCCGCAAAAACCTTAACCTTTACCATAACTTTTCATTTATTGGAGCTATGACTTTCATACTTAATATGAATATTCCTTGTGACAAGACCTTACTTTGGGTACCACCAAATTTGACCTTTTGACCTTTACCTTGGAGTTTATCCCATTTTACACAAAAATGCCAAATTTTTACTTTGGCCACAACTTTAAAACGGTAGATACTAGTACTCTAATACTTCAAATATGTAGTTTTTTGGCATTACCTTTCATTGGATACTAAAAACCTTGACCTTTTGACCTTGACCTTGGAGTTTTCCGTACTTATGATTTTTTTTTTACCTTGGCCATAACTTTTGAACGGTAAGGGCTAGGGTATTCATACTTCACATATGTAATCCTTGTTACATTAAACATTTTCTTAAGAAATCATCAACTTTGACCTTTGAGTTTGACCTACCTTTCAAAAACTTATCCTTAGCCATTACTTTTGAACAAGTGGTGCTAGGGCTTTCCTATTTTGCAGTTGTATTTCATGTGAGAAGACCCTACTTTGGGTAACAATATATTTAAATTGCATTTAAGAAAAGTTAAATCTTCACTATGTTGCCATACAGGGGCATAGCTGTTTCACAAACACATCTTTTTATATATGAGGATTTGCGGATAAGAGATGGATACATCAAAGCGTAACAGACGGACGGACGGACATCCCAATCACTATATACCCTCCCGCTTTTCAAGCGGAGGATATAATAATATATGATACTGCTGATTTTTTCTGTCAGTTCGATGATTTCCACCATCAAAAAACAATGTTTACCTAACCCTTAGGCTTGATAAATCTTTTACTCCTTTAGATTCTGAATCATTGCATTTACCTTAAAATATAGCTATAATTGTATAATGTTATGAGATCAACATATCATCAGTTTATTCCCAATAAGCTCAGGTTAGCATTTTGGCCAAGATGCTTCTTTCTCCAATTTTTTTGCCCCCTAAAAATCCCAAACAGAAAAAACAGCCTATCGGATCATGCTAACAACTCATGTGTAAATCATGGTTTTGATATGATTTCGGTATAGGAAAATTTCACATGCAAATGAGCTAATGGATCATGGTTCTGAGATGATCTGTTAAACTAAACAACTAGCAAGAAAACCACGATCCTGGTATGATCTGTTGTAGAGCTAACAACTCGTATTAAAACCATGATCCTGGAATGATCTGTTGTAGCTAACAACTCGTATTAAAACCATGATCCTGGTATGATCTGTTTTAGCTCACAACTCATATTAAAACCATGATCCTGGTATGATCTGTTGTAGCTAACAACTCGTATTAAAACCACGATCCTGGTATGATCTGTTGTAGCTAACAACTCGTATCAAAATCATGATCCTGGTATGATCTGTTAAATTGAACAACTCATAGGAAAATTCTACTTCTTATACAATTTAACTAAACACTTTGATATTTGCAATAGAGTTCTCTTTAATATTTGATAAATAATTTAAGTTACCAAAAATTAACAAAAATATTATGCACATATGTCACATGAACCATGACGTCATATAAATATAATCCCAACAAATGATCTTCCTTAATAAAATGACGATTTGCATATAAAACATTATCCAAACTATTCACTGAATTTTGTAAGAACAAAATCACTGAAATCCATTCTTCTTAAAGAATAATCCGGAACTCATTGATATCACTGCTTATTTATGATTCTGCAAAACCATATAATTACAACATTTGTTCACTACAGAATCAGCACAGTGGTGGATCTATTATTCAGAATCACAAACACTGAAAGGGCTCCAAATGAAGTTGTCTATCCTCTGATATAATCTCTTTATATGTGTATATAAGCACCCTGAAAAGAAACGTAGAGAAAGTGGTATTTATTTATCGATCAACATATAATTATCTTTAGATCATGAATATAAAATATTCAAGTACTTTTCCCATTGCATTAGTGAAAAGAATTGGATTAATCACCAAAAGAATAATATTGTTGAAATGTAATATTATTTACGTACACAAATGTTGTCTTCACCGAAGGCGGGTCTTTTGAATTTGGTAATTTGAATGCAACTCAGATGTTAATCATGAAGATGGAAATGTCGGTAGCTGCAAAAGAATTTCATTTTTATAAATAATCATTTTATATAACGATTAACATGTACATGTACAACAAATATTTGAATCAAGGAGGTCAATTTGATGCTTAAATTAAGTTTTCAATTCAAATCCATGTAAAGCTTTAATTACTATGTCTCTTCTACACATTTACAAAGAAAAATACATCATGCACTTGCTGGTAGAAATTAGAAATTAAAAAAAAAGGTCAATAATAAAATTAATGAATTATATACTCACCGAGTATAGAGTTAATAAATAGTCCAGCACTTATTTTTATTGCTTATATGATGCAAAGGCTTTTCTTTTAAATCGGCAACAAGAAAACGCGCACATCTTGTTTATCAGAATTCAAATTCTGACCTAGATCAGCTGCAAACCACTGTACTACAGCGTGCTGCCCAGCAGGAGAATTGCATAACAAGGTTACTATGACTCTGAAACTGACCAGTGATCCAATCCTAATCTTATGCCTCAAAGTAAGATTGGGAGTGGATTGCAAATATTACATGAAGGTTAAAAGTTTTGATAAAATCCTGGCTGCGTTATTTAAACAAAAAACATGTGTGCTAATTTAAATATGATAATTGTATATGTTTGTCATTTCATTCACTTTCAAAAAAATTACTGTCTTTGTAACTATACCTGTACATGTTGTGTGCATTTTAATAATTAAAACCTAATTTTCCTGTTCTCTTTTAAATAAGACTTTTATTGATGTATGCATGTTGTTTGATTCTCCAAGTTAGAGTGAATTTATAGCTTGCATTTTCACCTATCATAGATGACAAAGTTAACAAACCATATCAGGATCATACAACCAATTCTGACAAAGTCAACAAATCATATAAAACTCATGATTCTCAACAGAGAAGTTAACAGATCATGTGTAACTCGTATGGAGTTTAAAGACAAAGTTACCCAAACAGAAAAAACAGCCTATCGGATCATGCTAACAACTCATGTGTAAATCATGGTTTTGATATGATTTCGGTATAGGAAAATTTCACATGCAAATGAGCTAATGGATCATGGTTCTGAGATGATCTGTTAAACTAAACAACTAGCAAGAAAACCACGATCCTGGTATGATCTGTTGTAGAGCTAACAACTCGTATTAAAACCATGATCCTGGAATGATCTGTTGTAGCTAACAACTCGTATTAAAACCATGATCCTGGTATGATCTGTTTTAGCTCACAACTCATATTAAAACCATGATCCTGGTATGATCTGTTGTAGCTAACAACTCGTATTAAAACCACGATCCTGGTATGATCTGTTGTAGCTAACAACTCGTATCAAAATCATGATCCTGGTATGATCTGTTAAATTGAACAACTCATAGGAAAATTCTACTTCTTATACAATTTAACTAAACACTTTGATATTTGCAATAGAGTTCTCTTTAATATTTGATAAATAATTTAAGTTACCAAAAATTAACAAAAATATTATGCACATATGTCACATGAACCATGACGTCATATAAATATAATCCCAACAAATGATCTTCCTTAATAAAATGACGATTTGCATATAAAACATTATCCAAACTATTCACTGAATTTTGTAAGAACAAAATCACTGAAATCCATTCTTCTTAAAGAATAATCCGGAACTCATTGATATCACTGCTTATTTATGATTCTGCAAAACCATATAATTACAACATTTGTTCACTACAGAATCAGCACAGTGGTGGATCTATTATTCAGAATCACAAACACTGAAAGGGCTCCAAATGAAGTTGTCTATCCTCTGATATAATCTCTTTATATGTGTATATAAGCACCCTGAAAAGAAACGTAGAGAAAGTGGTATTTATTTATCGATCAACATATAATTATCTTTAGATCATGAATATAAAATATTCAAGTACTTTTCCCATTGCATTAGTGAAAAGAATTGGATTAATCACCAAAAGAATAATATTGTTGAAGTGTAATATTATTTACGTACACAAATGTTGTCTTCACCGAAGGCGGGTCTTTTGAATTTGGTAATTTGAATGCAACTCAGATGTTAATCATGAAGATGGAAATGTCGGTAGCTGCAAAAGAATTTCATTTTTATAAATAATCATTTTATATAACGATTAACATGTACATGTACAGCAAATATTTGAATCAAGGAGGTCAATTTGATGCTTAAATTAAGTTTTTCAATTCAAATCCATGTAAAGCTTTGCTATGTCTCTTCTACACATTTACAAAGAAAAAATAAATCATGCACTTGCTGGTAGAAATTAGAAATTAAAAAAAAAGGTCAATAATAAAATTAATGAATTATATACTCACCGAGTATAGAGTTAATAAATAGTCCAGCACTTATTTTTATTGCTTATATGATGCAAAGGCTTTTCTTTTAAATCGGCAACAAGAAAACGCGCACATCTTGTTTATCAGAATTCAAATTCTGACCTAGATCAGCTGCAAACCACTGTACTACAGCGTGCTGCCCAGCAGGAGAATTGCATAACAAGGTTACTATGACTCTGAAACTGACCAGTGATCCAATCCTAATCTTATGCCTCAAAGTAAGATTGGGAGTGGATTGCAAATATTACATGAAGGTTAAAAGTTTTGATAAAATCCTGGCTGCGTTATTTAAACAAAAAACATGTGTGCTAATTTAAATATGATAATTGTATATGTTTGTCATTTCATTCACTTTCAAAAAAATTACTGTCTTTGTAACTATACCTGTACATGTTGTGTGCATTTTAATAATTAAAACCTAATTTTCCTGTTCTCTTTTAAATAAGACTTTTATTGATGTATGCATGTTGTTTGATTCTCCAAGCTAGAGTGAATTTATAGCTTGCATTTTCACCTATCATAGATGACAAAGTTAACAAACCATATCAGGATCATACAACCAATTCTGACAAAGTTAACAAATCATATAAAACTCATGATTCTCAACAGAGAAGTTAACAGATCATGTGTAACTCGTATGGAGTTTAAAGACAAAGTTAAGAAACCATATCAAAATCACAAACTTTTAGCAGTTAAAGTTAACGAATCATTTCCAACTCATGTTCCTTTGTTTTCTAAGTTAATGGCACATGTCAGAATCGCAAGAAAATCATAGCAGACTCATTCCCCAGAAACAAACCACATCAGGATCATACTTCCTTATTTGTCATCTATGAGTTTTGTATGATCCATTTAATGGATCATGTCTAAATCATATTTCAAAACCATGAATTCGTGAGTTTGATATGATTTGTATGTGATTTTGGCATGATTTGTTAAGAAAAGTTTTTGTTTGGGTAAGAAACCATATCAAAATCACAAACTTTTAGCAGTTAAAGTTAACGAATCATTTCCAACTCATGTTCCTTTGTTTTCTAAGTTAATGGCACATGTCAGAATCGCAAGAAAATCATAGCAGACTCATTCCCCAGAAACAAACCACATCAGGATCATACTTCCTTATTTGTCATCTATGATTTCAGTATGATCCATTTAATGGATCATGTCTAAATCATAGTTCAAAACCATGAATTCGTGAGTTTGATATGATTTGTATGTGATTTTGGCATGATTTGTTAAGAAAAGTTTTTGTTTGGGATTTTAGCTTTAATCTACAGGGGGTCATTTTTCTACGGGGGTCATTTTTCTTCACGTGGGTTCTGCAAATTTTTAGGGAAGTGACACTTTTTCTACGGGCAAAAGGGTCATTTTTCTACGTCGAATAATGACCGGGGGTCATTTTTCGCTGTCAAAAAATGACCCCCGGTCATTATTCGATGGGGGTCATTATTCGTCTTTACACCGGTCGACCAATCAACCTTACAGAGTTCACAGGGTCAAACCTCTCCTTGGGATGACATGGACTTGTTTTCTAGTCTTGAGACACAGTCTTCTACCTCATGATAAGAAATTGACATCTTTTCAGCTGGACAAAAAAGTGCATTTAGATAAAGGGGAAAACTCTTGAACCCTCCTAATGATTTAAATGCATCACTATGGAACGCCAGGACTGTCTTATATGAAGATTAAATATTATATGCAGTGCTTCCTTTATTATATGCGGTACTATTTTTATTATATGAAGTAGTTTTTACATTATATAGTGTACAACCTCCATTACATGCAGTACTTCTTTCATTATATGATGTAGATATGTCATTATATTATGTACATCTATCATTATATGAAGTGCTTTTAACATTATATGCGGTAGTTCTAACATTATATGCGGTAGTTCTATCATTATATGCAGTAAACACAACAATATATTATGTACTTCTCACATTATATACAGTACATTCATCATTATGTGTAGTATTTCTGTTATTATGATGATGCTGATCATTAAATATTATGTCCGGTCCAGTTAGCATTTCGTGCGGTAGATTTTGCATTTCGTTATGATGTAGACACAGTATTATATGCGGTGCTTTCTTCTTTATGATGATGATCTTTCGGAAGCTACACTTCGGAACTCTCTGTTCTAGGTTCTTTCTATTAACTGTTGAATTCAGTACAATAAAAATACATGCGCGTATTCTTTATGTCTCTGATTAAGGCAGTGAATAATAAATGCTACATGAACTGATTAAATTGTTTTTAAAAGATAAGAAGTATGGTAATAGAGTAAAATAAAATGCCATCTATTTTATGGTATAAAGTAAAGAGAGAGAGAGAGAAAGAAGGGGAGTGGGAAAAGAAATGAGAGATTTTTTTCTTTCTTGTGAACAATATGGCATTCAAATAGATTCGTTTCATATGTAGGACAATCAATTTCAAAATGGGTAATGAAAAAAAAATAACTGATGTCTTCGAGTACGCAGGTCTTTAACAGCGCGTTATAGAAAACATTACATTATTTATTTACTTGTTTTTTGGGGTGGGGTGTGCTAATTTTTCATAATGTAAAATTACCCTTTATCTCTCAATTTAATAGGCACAAGGGTTTCTACCACATATCTTTTGAAAAGTAAAATCTTGAAGTACAACCCACGAAGACTCGTGCAATACAGTGACGTGGCATTGTTTTTGAAAGTGGGGGGAGGGGGTCAGCCGGGGAAAAACTTACCTGAAGAAAGTGGACAAGCCAAAAAAACATTGAACATTTTCAATAGTTAAAGTTATGTTTAGGAAAAGGGGGGGGGTTTTACTACGCGCGTGTATAATGTCTGCTCTGAAAATTGCATGTCTTTTCCTGATACATATCATTTATATAGTACAGTAAAAGACGGTGAATATCATACATTTTTTATATGCCATAGTTTAACAATTAATACGATGGAATGGTAAAAATAGTTCAATGATAAGCGCATCTCTCTCGCTCTTTCTCTCTCTCTCTCATTGTAATTAAACTACTGAAGTATTGACATGACTTCGAAATTCCTTTAATTTCGGTAATGTAGGGATAATCTAATTAATAAGTCAACAAAATCTTAACAAGCTTGAAATTCAACCATATGATACTTAATTTTTACCAATTCCAAAAATCTTTGTTCTTTTTTAACTGGATTGAAAATAAGTGTCCACAAAATAAAGATAGAGGTTGGCA